ACGGTATTTTAGGCACCAAGTATTTAGTCATAACTTTCCTATATTACCCTTCTTGTTTTATCCAATTCTCAGTCCAAACAATTCTCCATTGTGCACGCACAACTCCTTCGGCGGCCCTTCCAAAAAATCATCCCACTCCTCCAGCTAAGGCTAAGCCCTCTCCTGTCTTCCCCTGTACTTTGTTCCTCTCTCCTGCGACTTGCACCACAAGCCATCCATCATATTCCGAACTCACTCAATCTTCCTTTTTACAAATTCCCCCCATCAAACCTCCATTCTTCATCTACTTCTTTGAGTGCTTTGGATTGGGGATAGACTCTACAGATTCCACCCTTACCAGTGGGCGGCGGAACACCTAAATGACATCCTATCTTTTTTATGATTTTGGCCAGTCCAGGTTGTTTGAAATCCGCCGTGGGGAGTAGGTGGGTAAGATTCGAAATCAGCCTTTGGGAGTAGATGAGTAAGATTGGAAGTAGAAGAAGTAGATATACGGAGATGGATAAAAAAGATAGATGCGCAGTATAAAAAAAGCTTTGGGAGAGAAGGTGAGAATAGGGGTAGTAAAGATTTAAATGGGACGTCCCAAAAAAGAAAGTGTAAAGATTTAAATGAGACGGAGGGAGTATAAAGTAGCGGGGCAAAGCTAATAGATAATGATACAAAGCATGACTAAAGAAAGGATATGCACGATCAGTTAACTAGCGGCAAAATAGACAGAATAGTTGGGAGCCGGCGGAGAAATAGCATCTTACGTTAGAGAGCTATGTCAAAGAAAATACAATATGTAATATGAGTGAAAGGATCAACAATAGACAGACCGACCTTCAATTAGGGATGGACTCGGGTCCGGGCCGGGTCTGGGTCGGGCCTAGGCCCGGGCGGGCCGGCGGTTCAGAAATGGTGGACCTGGGACCGGCCCGGGTAACCACCGGGTCCGATCCGGGGCCGGGCCGGGCCGGGTACATTATCATTTTTTTTTATTTTCCTCTTCCTAATTAACCCCCCCCCACCCCCAACCCCCCAAACCACCCGAATGCCCCAAAATACCCAGCCCAACCCGAAAATTTAAAAAAATTGAAAAAAAAAGTTTTTGGCCCGAACCGGGCCCGGCCTTGTTTTGGGTGACCCGAGCCCGGACCGGAAAACCCACGGGCCGGGCCTACCCGGACCGGTCACTGACCGGGCCACCAGGTCGGGCCGGGCCGGAACAGTACCGGTCCCGGGCCGGTTCCGGGTCGGGCCACCCGGCCCGAGTCCATCCCTACCTTCAATAAAAGATCAATACATTTATATTGCTTTAAGCTTTCTACGTGAGTTCATAGAATTCTTTTAATTCTTTCTCCTAGTAAATATATATCTCTTGTACGTAATCCTATATACGAGTATCTCTTTATCTATTTGATGGTTTCAATTTACAAAAAATTGTCTAAACACACTTACACACCTCTCCATCTATGAATCATTTTTCCATAACACAAAAAGGACTTCTAATGTACAAGCAAGAGATCAACAATCAATAAGTAACCTATGTTATGGGGAACTAAAAGCAGTTATCTACCAAATTTGAAATTTTAAATTTAAAGATTCTTACAAAAAATGACAACTAATTATGATTGCTGGAGGTAGAACGTAGAAGCAACAATGTTAGACACTAATCATCCTCATCAGTGGCACTTGATAATAATAGTTATAATCGGCAACGATAGCCACAAACAATAGCAACCGTTGTCGACCCAAGCTGTAGATAGGAACATAGGGTGATGATAGAACCCGAAATTGATCAAGAAGAGATGAAGAAAATGTTTATTGATGAACAATGTGTTTACGGAATGAATTCAACGGACAATTCGAGATGCCCAGTCTCCTAACCTATCCAAGTCCCAAATACTTGCCTGCCTATTTGCCTACCCTCCCCATTCTATTTATAGTACAAGCCCACTTATTATTATTTACACTAATAGGCCCACTTATTATTAATTCTAATAATAGGCCCATTTAATATCTATTCCTAACAATACTCCCCCCCCTAAACAACCACCTTGTCCTCAAGATGGATGATAGGAAACAGCCATGATCTTCCATTTCCACTTCATTCTTGCACTTCTCCCCTCCCAGTATTTGACTGATTGGTGGACTAGGAACTTCAGTACCAAATCTTTTGATATCACAAACATTTCAGCAGCAGAAGAGATATCTAATGAAGTTCCGTACGCTTCAGCAAGTATTCCAATATTGACAATCTTCAGCAAGTTCTGCCAATGAGCTCCATTCGGGGCATCCTTTGCATAAAGGATATACAGGTTGACTGCATTCTTTTGCTCTTGTCTATGAGCTTTTTCTTCAGCCTCTTTTGAGTTATGGAATGGCTGAATAGAAAACTGCCCATCAACACGAACATAGCTTATTCTTTTCTCAGAAACAAACTGCTGCACTCCATCAAGAATCTTAGGATAGACTATGATTTCTACTCCTTCACAGCTCCCTAGTGCAGTCTCACCATCATCTAACTGCTTTTCAGATTTCAGGTTACTGAGATATATTTCCCATTCATCATCTCTTGTCTTCAGAAGTAATATCATATAATGGCTATTCACCTCCATGAACTGTTGAATCTGTCTCTTCTTTTCATCCCGTTTGACATTGCCATCAATGTCAAGTCCCAATTTCGTACTTCCTCTCCTATCCATGCCAGAATCATTTAGAGTAGGGACTTCATCAATAAGACTTTTGATATTTCCTGAATTCATAATCTCCTTGCTTAATGCAGTCATATGAGCTTCCAATGCACCAGAAATATGCAAGAATTTATTCTTAACAGTGAGATGCCCATCTAACTTCCTCTTTTGTGCAACATGATAGCTTGAATTTGATTCAGAGTTCTGATCTAATCCACAATCAGACTCGGAAGTAAAACCTTGCAAGCCATTGTAGGACCGAACAACACAACCATGTTTTTCAATCTTAGGTATCCATCTTTGTTTGATTAGTTCCTCAGTAGCATTAGTGTATGCGCTGATGATTCCCTGAAGCTTCTTTCCAACATTTCCCTGTTCTATTTTCTCAGTTTCCTCGATGTGGACAATCCCTGTAGAGCTTTCCCAAGTGTTTGAACCAGCAAATTTATCAACTACCGATTCATAGTCTACGGAGATAGAGGATTGAGTCACCACCGCCGATTTCTCCTCTTTATTGACTAGAGACAGCTCTATCTCTCTTCTGGTTCGGCTTTGTCCTTGATTCCCGAATACCTCATCTTTGTTAGGTATCGTCTGAGAACTGAAAAGTTCGCTTCTCGAAGGCTTCGTACTTTGACCCAAACTGAGAGAGTCAGCTCACGACAAAGCCGGGGAACTGGGGAAAGTTGCTTGTGACTTAAACAAAACTTGTGAATTGAACCCTCCTGTCAATCTTGTTTCACTTGGAGAAGAAGAAGTTTGCGAGTGTGATTGCGAAGACTTCTGCGAACGTATGAGGATTTCCGATGATGGACTGTAAGAACAAACAGTAGTTCTTGGCGAAGATTCTTGCGGACTGGAATGATACCTGAGTGTCGAACTGTGCGACCTATGAGAAGTTGTACGCGAAGGGGCCTGTGAACTGCGGACATCTGTTCGCAGCTGAGAATAGCCCTGCGCAAGCGATGAGGTTTGCGAATTAAGCAAAACTGTTCGCGATCTTCTTCTTGCCTGTAAATGTTCTTCCATAGCAGCTAGCTTTCTCGCAAGGTTATCCAACTTTAACTTCACCTCTTGCTGATTCCGCTCCAGCGAATCCATGCGCTGATCCATTTTACCTCTAACTCTAACCATCCACCTTCGAATGAAAAAAAATCTGGATTCATATACTTCTCCGATCAATCCTGAAGTCGCCAGGAGCTTAATGCTCTGATACCAAATGATAGAACCCGATAATTCTGACTCAGAATTGTAAAGAATCTCTAAGAAATTGATCAAGAAGAGATGAAGAAAATGTTTATTGATGAACGATGTGTTTACGGAATGAATTCAACGGACAATTCAAGATGCCCAGTCTCCTAGCCTATCCAAGTCCCAAATACTTGCCTGCCTATTTGCCTACCCTCCCCATTCTATTTATAGTACAAGCCCACTTATTATTATTTACAATAATAGGCCCAATTATTATTAATTCTAATAATAGGCCCATTTAATATCTATTTCTAACAGGTGAACCAAGCTGGTTCCAGACTTCCAGTACCGTTCCGTACTTCTAGGGTCAACCGACCCGTAACCAATCCGGTACCGTTTCGGCCCGGCCCAGACCGGTACCCAGGTCTGTGCCCGGTTCGGCCACCTGGCCCGCTACTGTTTCAAGGTAGGCTCCAGGTCTCAAAAACATGAACCGACCGGGCCGAGCCCGGTTCGGGCCATTTTTTTTTGTTTTTCAAATTCTTTAAAAGGTAAATGGGTTGGGTTGGGTGTTTTGGAGAGGTTTGGAGGTAGGGGGGTAGCAAGTAATTAGAAAAAAAAATGTACCCAGCCCGAGTCCCGGCCCGAATCGGGTAGCTACCCGGGCCGGTTCCGGGCCTCAAGAAACCAAAAAAAGTCCGGTCAGGCCCGGCCCGAGTCCAACCTACTTACTTCGGTGTAAGGAGTAGGAACAGAAGTTTTATTGGACAAACTAGTTCCAACTTCCAACAGTTTGATTCCAAAATACTTGAACCGAACTGATCATTTCCGAAACTGTTTTGGAAGAACTGGAACCGGTTGTGGTGCTATTCTTCAAGGAACCAGCCCGGGTCTTTACCCAGTCCAGCTCGAGGAACCGAGACCACCACTACTAGTAATTAGTAAATAATAACAACTACAATACGAGACAAACTTGCTCAATATGACAGATCACACACTAAACTTTGTAGATCAGATTATAATTAAAGGTGAATTTAACCTTACTAACTAAACTGTCTTACCAGTGTTTTGGGGCCCTCCAATAGAAGTGCATCTTTATTCTTTACATTAGTAAATTAGTAAGAGATAAGATTATCAGCAAATCAGTCATCAAATAAATGCATGAATATTCAATAATAATGACAACTATGAATTCTTAGAGAAGATATAAAATGTGAACTCAAGGGGGTGACTTATAATGGGTGGGTTTTAACTTTTAACTAAAAAATGAATGGACTAACAGCTACTATCTATTACATTGGATCGCTCCTTTCTCTCCACATGGAGACTAGAACACAACATTGAAGAAAAAATACACAGTTTTTTTCTTCTTCTGCCAAAGCTTTATATTATCCCGGAGATCATGACGCCACAATTCATATAAATGACAGAAAGAATGTATGGCTCCAAGCATCTCAGGTGGCGGCAGCAGCCAATGCGGTTGTTTTACAAATTGGGCAAACATTCTTTTGTTTGAGCCATTGTTTGACGCACTGGGTGTGATACTCATGACCACAATCCAATATCCCAAGTTCATCTCCCTCATTATATTCCTCCTGAAGTACATTTTGCATTATATTAATAAAACGATAGAAACACCATTAAGACTTCGAGGTTTCATCCTATAATGTATGACTAATAGAAGCAATTCAGATTCTTTATGTCAAGTATACTGACTTAACGAAACACAACTAACCCCAAGTTAGTAACCTTTTAAGTTTTGTTGAAGTGCACTTCAGTTTATACCCCTAAGTGGATACTCTAGATCAAATTGAGTGTTGGAGATATGAATCAATACTAGAGTACTATCGAGTGTAAACCCAAATAGTGTTCCGAATGAGCTCATAAATAAAAATCATAAAATCTAGGTAGGGGGCATTGAACAAACTTTTGTCAATGAGTTGATGAAATGATTATAGCAAGAACAGGGCATCTTTTCATATGTTCGAAAATTGGAAATCAAAACTTCCAATTCCATCCTAGAAGTTCAGTTATATGCATGTATTGGGGGAGGAGGACACCCTAATAGATCTGCACATACGTGAGAGAAATAATCGGCCGATTAGTACCTGACATATACAGCATGGTTCTCTTTCAGCAGGATTTTCTTCTTCTTGAGTAGCCATGCATGTGTATTTTTGTCGTTTCAAATGCTTCAAAATCACTTCTTCACTCAAACCAGTACATACATTTCCGATACGTTCTTCCAGTGCTAGTAATTCCTTTAGAAATAGCAATTTCCAAATAAGTGGAGAAAGAAGCTGAGGACCAAACTGTCCCAACAAAATGAAACTAAAATAAGTAAACAAAAATATTACTGAGGGTTTTACCCTTACCTCATATGACATGTTATCAACATCAAGACGCATATCCCTATGCCGATCATGAGTGCCCGCCATCCCAAAAAACACTGACGGATCAAGAATCATAACATCCTGCACACACCAAACCATGAATTGGGACAATAACTATCGAGTAAAAATGCTGAATACAATAAATAAGGACAATCCACATTGTGGACTCGCATAAGGACTGTTCCAAATATTCATTGTGTGTCCGCAGACCATTGAAAAGAACGAGTAAGGCATTACTTGGCTAATAAATTATAGACTTCATTTTTAAAGAAAGTTATATGCTCATATACCCTTATATTTTATTTATTTACACATCTGACTCATGTCTCGTTTACAGTATTTTTAGAAAATGCCATTTCAATGTATATGAACTCTCGTGGTACCTGGCCTTCAATGTCCTTGTTAAATTGGTTATTTATCAAGAGATGAAATTTAAGCTCACACTTATATATCTATTAGACTCAAACCTCAAAATACAGCTGATGTTAGGATACTCAACAATCTTAGTGACTGCTTACTTTTATTCCATTAAGTCATCTTTGAATTAAGATATCGATGTATAGTTGTATGTCTGGATCCAATGGTCTTTAAGTAAGAGGTTGTTTACTTTGTGTGCTAATTAAAGGTTATAATAACCAATTAAAAGTTGTTTTTGGATTGTCCTGATAATAAGTAATCTCACATATTAACAGAAATTTCTTCCATCATGGTTTCTCAAACGAAAGGCTGAATAGGCATCTAAATGGGGAGTAATATATCAGAGCTGAATAATTAAGTAGCCTTTGGCTGAACGACAAATATTTTTCTATTTAAGACAAGGTAGACATGGCTAAATAGTTGAACTATTCCTGGTTAAGCCCATTAAGTTACATCTTACTAATAAAACATCCCTTAGTTTCCTATATTATAGCTGAGCCTCAAGCTTCAAGGCTTAGAAAAGAAGATTGTATGGATGGACAGGTCTCCCATTAACATGCGAAAAACCGTTATTTATTATATAATATCTAAAAGACTAACCTCAACTCGCAAGCCCTCTCCACGACGCATAAGATCTAAAACATTATGGATCTGTTCAATGGGAATAAAAAACATTGAACTTAGTAATGAAATTGCAGTTTTTTTATAAGACAAAAAAATTATCTGAACACGTGAAAATATCCTAAAATTTAGCTCTGAATAATATCAATAAATTAAATACAAAACTACATACCTCAGAAACAAGCCTGCTTCTTCTTCCCTCACCAGCAGCAGCCAAAGTCCTCCATGAATAAGGAACAGCAGAAGAACCATCCATATGTCTCTCCAACAGCATTCCTGACCTGGAACCAGATGGACGATTCATGAGATTTCCACCAGACAGAGCTGCAATCTCCTGCAAGCTGGCATGCACTTGTGGGCTGCTGCTGTTGCTCGGATGACCAGAATCTGATGCACTAGCAGAGGTCTGCAAAGATCTCCTCACAAACTCTGCTGGCAGTCTGGGGTACTGTGGAAGAACAGCACGGCTAGGTAGCAAAGAAGGTGAAGCTGATTGGGGGCTCACAATTGGACCGCTAGGTGTAAACAAAAGATTTTGTTGTGTAATGCTTCTTGGGATACCCCTGGAAGTCGATGATTCACCAACAGATTGTGCCAGCAAATCTCTCTCTCCAGAAGAAAGAACATAACTTGAGGGAATCACATGCCGGTGCATGGAAGGAAAGGGCCCAGCTACTAAAGGCTGTCCTTGTGGAGTGGCATTTCCAGGTTGGGATTCTAGCTGGAACAAATTACGAGGAACAGAACGTTGTTGGTTTGCGGCGTTCATCCTCAGACGGAGATTCCTTCGCGAAATTTCTGCAGTTCGGGAAGCGTTTGATCCAATGCTTAATCCAAGCCTAGGGTTTATCTGTTCAGCCACATTAGCACTACCGTTATTAGTGTTCGGTGCAGGAGGAGGAATATTCGAACTGCTCGAAATGTTATGTTGCCAAACACAGCTCTCAGGGTGCTGAAAACAACCCAAGCTTCCACTCCCGGAAGATTGGCCTTCAAACGCTTTTCTTTTACGCGACAAGCGCCGACCTTCTCCTGAACTGCCTGGCCGGACCCCGCTTTGCTCAGCTAAAGGACCTGCGGAACTACTACTGCCAGGCAGCATTCGTTGATTGGGTGGAGCACCGGGCTCAAAGGTAGACATAAACTCCAACAACTGACATTCATCATCGGCGTTAGTGTCATCCACTTCAGAATTTACTTCAACGTTATTCATCAAAAGAGCATTTGTTGAAGCAGTTGTGGAAGACGATGACCAATCATGTCCTCCTCCCATTTTTGGCTCATTTTCACAGAGTTGACTTTGAACCAGAGTTGAGCTGCTTTCTCCTAAACTCCAGTTAATCAAGTTCGGCCTCTCTTGATTAGTAGCAGAAGCACTGTATGTGTTGTTAGGAGATACAACGTAATCTGGTAATCGATTTTGTGCAGAACTTCTCAGATTATTCCAGCACACTGGCTGACCTAAAGCATCGCTGCCTGATGAAGGACCATGAGCAAAGTCCAGGGTTTCAGGTAACGAACCGACTGCACCTCTCTTCCCTTGCATTAGGGCTATAATGTAAATTTATCTCTAAAAGAAGTCCAAAGAATATTATTATATACTGGAAGACAAATATTTGTTCCTATCTTCCTCCAGCAGACCTGAAATGATTAATACACTTCATCCTACATTTACAAAGTCATACCAACCTTTACGACCAAGTAAAGACAGAATGATTGGCAATTCAGAAAACAACATTGCATTTGAATGATGAAACTCCTCCACAAGTCACCTATCTAGTATTCTAGTAAGGTAAGAAAACAGAAAATCATAACTAAAGCAACACAGAATCTTGCATGAGACGGTCTCGTGTAGATCAAGCTCAAAGTGATAATTATAGAATTTTTTAAAACCCCTTCTCAAATTCAGAAGAAGAAAAATATAGATTATTTTGAAACACTGTGTCTTTGGCTCAAAAGTACTGGTTACTTGAAATAGTCAAAATACACGCCCTTCTGCCAACATAGACAGAAATACACGTAAAGAAATTGGCTTTTTCTCATTCCACCCAGAATTTAATGTAATAAGAACTCTCACAGACCAGAAAAGTCCTTTATTTGGATACATAGAGTCTTTCTGGAAAATGATACAACACAATCAGCTCAAAACTACAGAACCATTTGACAATCCATCATCATTTAAAGTCAATTTGATGAAAAAACAATCTTGATCCAGTCCAAGGAATTCAACAGAAACCCAGAAATACAGAAGCAAAAATAGAGTACAAGTTATACTATAAAAGTACAAAAAAACAAAGTTACAGGGTCAACATATATTAACAAAGAGAAGGGCGGAAGAATCTAAGAATTTACCAGCAAAATAGCTAGAAACAAAGCGCTAGATCTAGCGTCTAAACCTGAAATGACAAGAAAAAGTTAGAAAGATTCAACCTTGATAATACCCACCATCTAAACTCACCTGTATCTCTGAACACACACATGCATACATAAAAATATGAGGAATTGGTTCATTACAGACCCAAATACATACAAAACTCACCGCCTAACAGAAGAGAATAGAGAGAGAGAAAGGGAGGTTTAGAGATGAGAATGAAATGAATTGGTGAGTGTGGGTGAGGAAAATCAAGATAGAAATAAAGAGAGAAGAAAAAATTAGAGAGGTGCAGGTAAGGTAAAGCCAAGCCTGACCCTGACCTTTGTGGGTAAAGAGAAAAAAGTAATCTTGAAAACCAGATGTATACGGATTGCAATTAATTAATTCATTAATTGATTAATTTCACAATAAATAAATCAGCATTGCAGCACAATTTTTCCATAGGTACACTCCAAATGGGAAAGAGGGTGGAAACGTATTTGCCCAAGTGTGAAAGGGGGGGAAACAAATTCAATGGGTAAAAAGAATGAATGGTCGATGTCTGTGTGTCTTCTTGGCCCGTTTTTTAGCACATTACTGACATAACACTACTTAAATCAACAAGTACGCTTTTGAGCCATCTAACAACGTGTATTTACATCAGACATTGTACAGTTACATTGGTTAAAGTTGTTTTGGTTAAAATGTGAATAAAAAAAGTTTGTGTAGCGTTTTTTGCATAACTAAAGCTGGCTGTTTCATGTGAAGTCAAATAAGGGAGGTCTATTATACATTTATGAAGTTAACAGATGCTCCCTCCTTGAAATAAATATTTTTAGTTTATAAACTTATTATAATAGTAAAAAAAGAAATAGAGATTTAGATAGAAATGAGTGGAACGGCAATAATCGTGTATTTCTTTCTAAAATAAAATAAGAATTGTTTGTGAACTTAACCATACAGAAAAAGATAAAATTAGTTTGATAATTAGAGTGCAATAAAGAAGAGAGTAATAAAATTGTTATTGAACATTCATTTTATTCAAGATGGCTAGTTCAACCAAAAGGTATAGGTGTAAAGCCAATTGAAGCAAGTGAGTTTCATATGTTAATCCAACATTTTTTCATTTTTCATCTCTTTAGACTTTTATCATCACGCCAAGCACCTGTTTGGAATTTGTATTCTTCGACTCACATGCTTTTATTATTTTTTGTTATACATTTCATATCAATGACTTTGTATTATCACATACGTAGTACTATTATAACAACACACAAATTTTTATTACCAAACATTTAAGACTCATTTTCGTTCGATGAACTTGAGTGGTCTTTGTGGGTTGGGGTAATATAAATCAAATAAAAATGGTATGATTTATATAAATTCTTGTGCATGCATGAAATATTTATATTTATATATATATATATATATATATATATATATATATATATATATATATATATATATATATATATATAGGTCGACCTAATTGATTGTTACAAAAAGGTATTCCAGTAAAAATAAATATATCATTTATAAAAAATGTCATACCCCTTAAACCTAACCTTTGATTTGAAGGTCTTTTGAAATTAGATTTTATAAGTTAGCAAAGGATACAAGGTGAGCTAAAGTTTATTAAGAGGCTAATTTCTTATCAACAAATATTTCCCAAAGGATGTAAACCCAAATCAAATACTCCGTATGTATTTACACATGTTTACACGAACCAAATAGACCACAGTATATAATCTCTTTTGAAGAGACACATTTTGACAATTGATTGGTACATTGATTTCTTGATTTAAAAAAAGAACAAAATAAAATATCCCTTCATCTTATTTCCGAAAATATATTTGTTGCACTCCTTTTGAATAAAAAAATTAATTGAGCATACTAAAAGAATGGAATGAGCATTCATCCAAATAGACACTAAATTTAAATTCATGTATTGTCCTAAACATATAACCTAACCGGGTGGTTGATACTACACTCATGAATTTGGCTAACTTGGTCGTGATATATTTATCGGTCATTCTTTAAAGTTTTTGCCTTTATGATAAAGATAAATAATGACATCTCAGTGAGTCTCTATATCTTATCCTTATCTGAAAAATCTTCGGAATTATCTGAAGTTTCGGAAATTAATAAGTAATAAACTAAACAAAGTGACCTTTTGAAGAATGTAACCAAAGAAGTGCTACGAGTTTAATTCAAAATTTGAAATTGCACCATTGTCATAGTTAATTTGAATCATCTTTTGAATGTCAACTCATACGAAAATTATAATGCTTTGTTTGCCAACACTTCTAAACTAATATAGTATATGCTCAATGGTAATGTCAATCTTCTCGGTTAGGATGAGATTCAACATCAAACATCTACCCTAAAAGAACAATTGTGATGTCATCAAACCAAAGCATGTTTGTTAAATTATACTACCTCTATCCCCCTATTATTGTCTCATTGTGGTTTACGTTGCTTGATCGACGATAAAGCAAAAAGATCTATGTCCGCACTCAAATTATTTTTAGAAAAATAATTACATATTCAGAAACTACATTAAAAGCATTACAAAGTCGCAAAAACCAGAATCAAATTTGATAAAAAATTGATATATAAACTAAGAGATTAAGTGTGATTTGTGTTGACCAAGTAAATATGAACTGTGACATATTGGGGACGGAGGGAGTAATTCTTTATATTGTCTCTGAAAGTTAAAATCAACCCGGTTTAAGCAATTGTTAGGTAAGTTTTTATATCAAGATGGAACAATTGCTCAAAAGCTATTGTTCCAACTTAATTTACAATGCATTAATTAAAAGTTACAGATTTACCATATATTCACAAATGTTTCTAATTTCACTCCGAACTCGTGTAGAATTTGATGCGATCATATCTTGCTCTATTTTGTGCTGTTGAAAGCGTTTAATATCTCGTTGGAAAGCTCTTACCGAGTTCTAAAACTTCTCTTCAGGCGCTTGTTTCAAAAAATCAAGGGATGATTGCCTCATTACTAAAATACATTGTATTTACGTTAAAAGTGCTCTATTTTCGCTGAAAACGCTAAATCATAGAGATAAGGCTAAGTATTTGTGATACTCATATCTTGCTGTGTGTTTATCCGTTTGGAGCGTATTATATCACGATGGAAAGATAGATCGGAGCTCTAAAGCAATTGTTCCATCTTCATTTACAATGCATTAATTATCAACCCGGTAAATTTGATCCAAAAATTATGTCTTGATATTAGCTTTGGATGGGTTATAAATAAATTATTGTGCCAAAATGGATTTAAATAAAAAGAATCATATCTGGTTTGGGATATTTAACATTTAGACGAGATCTAAAGTATTGGGGATTGATAGAATAGTATTAACTCCGTATACTCCATATTTAGTACTACCTCCATCCCACTAAGATTGGGACGAGAGAAGGCGACACGATTATTAATTAAGAAAAGTGAGTTTGTGTGGTTGATATTAAATTGATAAAGTAAGAATAAAGTAAGAATGGTTTAGAGCCACACAATCTTTACCAAATTTGGTATGGGACAATCTTAGTGGGACTTCACGAAAAAGTAAAATGAGACAATCTTAGCAGGACGGAGGGAGTAATATTTATATTGTTTTTGTTGGAAAAATGTGTTAAAAATTGCATTAAATGGTTAATTTGGGGAAATATTTTGAGTGGGGTCCACTTCTGATTTGGGTCAGGTCAAAGTGGTTTCGGATTGTCCTTACTAAGGGCTACAATTCGATATATGGTACACTCAAAACGGATAACGGGTGAATGAGAAATTGATTCTCGAAGTTCGCTCGTTGAAATGGAAAAATTGAGAAAATGATGAGTTTCTGGTGGGATTTATCCCACACATGAAAACCCAAGGGATTTTCACCCCCTTATAAAGGGAACCCCCTTTGAAGGAGTTAAGATTCATACGGGGAAAGACTCTCTTCACGCGCAAGGGGTGCCGATCAAATCCCAAAAACGGAGAAGAAAAACCGCGATTTGCGTGCGCGGGCGATCTGCGGGCACGAATGTCGTCCGAAAATCCATCATTCAAAAACCTGGGCGATCTGCGGACACGAATTTCTTCCCGTAACGTTTTAATTTTTCCCAGAAGTCATCGGACAGAAACCCTTCTGCTCAGTGCCAGATTTGCTTCAGACAGAATGGCTTCAGAACAAGTACACTAGAAGACCTAGGGGGTGTTCTGGTCGCGCAGTTCTCAGCCGTTACGAAAGTTAATGCCCAACGTTTTTATCTTTTAATGCTTCTTTAAATGGACAGTTTTTCAACACATTAATGCCCAACGTGTTGGACATTTTATGTGCAACGTTCAGGTCCATTAAAGCGCGGTTAACACACCAGAAATCCTCCTATAAATATCTTGCAGGTGCCTAGTGGGAGGTCTCGAGTTCGAAACCCGCTAGGCACATAAAGGTTTGAAACTCAATGGAGTGAGTTTCAGCAACTAAACTAATGAGTTCTTTCTAATTAATGATGGAAAGGAACAAGGATTGATTCCGGTGTAATCAAATTTCGGGGTTGATCGGCCTTAATCACATGAAAATTATTTAATTGAGCAACGCTAATCAATACTAAGTTCTTACCGCTCTCGCGGCATAGAGTACAATAATTTAGGGAACCAGACTGATCTCTCATGCGACAAGTTCCTAAATGATTGCCAAAACGAGCGAGCGTACGGCTCCCTAACCGTTACTAATCTCTTAGCGAACTAGGTGTGTGTGAAAGTGTCCTATAATAAATTAGATCTCTCTTAATTTATTCTATGTGCAATTATAATCCTAGCCGCCGTTCTAGGTTACAAGATTTCAATTTAATTATTCAAACACAAATTAAATAAAGATCATGTAATTAATCCATCAAGAATTTAACCCTAGATCATGATTAACCCCTTCATCAATCCTAAATCCCTAATTAAAACTACTCAAAATTTATAATTGAATTAACAATAGAATTGAGAAGAAAAGAATTAATTGTCATTAATTAAAAAGATTGAACTTACAAAGAATCCCAAAATCTTGACAATCCAAGGCTTGAAAAGCTCTCAAAATCGTTCTAGGGTTTATCTCTCTAAGCTCATAATAAAAAACGGATAAAATGGGCTGAATTTATAGAAATCAACAAAAGTGGGTGAAATTCGGTCCTCGGGGTCGTCCGCACGGCGTGTGGGTGACCGTGTGGCCTCCCGCAAAATTTCCGTCGTTTCACTCTTCTTCCGCCCGGACGATGTGAGTACTTCGGGCGCACGGCGTGTGCGTTTCTCATCCGAATTTGACTATGCTTCTATCACCAAAGTTGTAGATAATGATGTCTT